TAATAAAACAATTTCATAATTTAAAGGGTTGAGTATCTTATGGAGAACAAAATGCTGAATAGTATTACATATTTAAGTGTTAAATTATGAAATTGTTTTATTAGAGCGAAATATAAATGATATGTGTTAAATTATGAATTTTTTATTAGAGAGAAATATAAATGATATGTGTTAAAAATAAATACAAGATCCCATATAAGTACATTTTTTGTAATACAAACGTAGCAGTTAGATTTTTTTTATAGTACATTATCTTCTCGGCATCTTGATGTGATAAATACTAGACTTCAGTAGAACATATATACTTTTAAAAAAAAGCTAACTTTATTACTTAAATTATAGCAGTTTAAACTCAAAGCTTCCGACATTCAGTGAATGTTTAGCAGCTGTGAATTGCCATTTCACACACTTGAAAATATAATTTTATGCGGTTTTACCAATAGAAATATTAACTTTTTAATGGAAAACTAATTCACTTTTGGTGCAAGAATATTTTAAATGAACAAAATAGGGTTTTGTGTGCGTGTGTGTGTATACGTACATATGTATAACGATGAACAACAGTCATGCTATGTTTAATGGAAATAAATATTTTTATTTGATATTTTAATGAAGTTGTTCAGACCACAATACCAAAAGTAAAAATCAGGCTACTACAGCTGAATAACTGGGGATGATAAGTGAAACTTACCTCCTGAAGGGCCTGGTGATTATAACGTTCGACTAGCAATCTGCATGTCGCGGGATCGAAAAACCATTACCAAACATTTTCATCCTTTCAGCCTTGAGGGCGTTATATAGCGACGGCCAATCCCACTTTTTATTGGTAAAGGGTAGCCCAAGAGTTGGCGGTGGATGGTATTGACTAGTTACCTTCTCTCTAGTCTATTACTTCAAAATTAGGGACAGCTAGTATATATATAGCACTGGAGTAGATTTGCGCTAAATTCAATTCAACAAACAAACAAACACTTCCTGAGGTTGGTATACCAACCTTCATAATGATCAACTGCCTATACAAACAACGTAATAAACAAAAAAATTATTACTTTTATAATATGAAAATTCCGAAAGAGTAGCAACGAATCCCCCCCTCTCCCCCAACCTAGATCAACGTGTTGTTAGAGTACGTAATCAGTTGTGTGGATGAACTGAAAGACCTACATGTTCTTAATAACACGCGTGTTAGATCTAAAAGATAATATTGGATGTAATTCGTGCCAAGACAGTCATTGTAACTGATAAATTTACCCTCACCAGGGGCCGTGTGTGTCTGTGTTTCCGCGCACGTATCTTGAGACCTAATAGACCGATGTACACGAAAATTTTACACAAGATGGGAAGTCAATATGGGACAGTCCTCCCCAAAATTTGTTCCGAATCTAGATCTGGATTCTGGATCACCCTGAAGCACTTTTTATAATGGGGAGATAGAGCATTTTCGCGGTTCCAATTAATAACTCTGTAAAGTGTGATTAGATTTGTACCAAATTTCATGGGCACATTAAAACTAATACTCCTCATAAGAGTACAAAACATGATATGGAACATTGATCATTCTGGATCTGAGAAGAATTTTTTTGAGTTTTCGAAGGTGAAATTTGACGTTATCCAATATAAAC